CGTTACTCTCCCCATCTTCAATTCGTCTTTGTCATATCGTTACTTACAGAAGTGCAGCTTTGTGGCTGCCGTGGAGCCGATTATGAGTGACTTATGCTAAACAGACGCCGCAAAGTTAACTTTTGCCATTGCGTCATGTTTAGCTACGCTAGCTATCCAGCCACGGCTCGTAAGTAGCAGAGGCTTCCAAAGAAGTGTGCAATAAGCACTCAGCGGAAAAGAGCGAGGTGACACGGGGCATAGAATTTTGGCCATTTTTGTCGCACTGAGCAGTGCACGGAAGGGGAGACAAAGACGTCATCGTGTATACCACGATTGGACGGTAGGATCCAAATCTCTACCTTTGGGGAAATTCATACCATATATTGACTATAATGTACGTTTGTACTTACTAGAAAGTACTTTCAAATGGAAACTCAGATGCAACTGAATTCGATGGGTGGTTTGCTATCACTCCAGCCTCAGCAGTACAATTATTCAAATAAGATTATTTGCAAAAACATATTACAGTACATGTCCTGTCGAAAGCTGGAGGGCACAGAACAGAATGAGGTCGTAGCCGAACTCTTGGTTCACAGGTTCCTGTGGTCATGGGAGATTTCCTTTGGGTGAAATTTTGACGGATGACGAGAATAACAGAACAGAAAATTCCTCAAGGTTATCTTTTGAGCCTTAAACACACGGACGCACTATTTGAGGTGGCTGGTTGGCAGACTGATGACGCCATTTTCTGGCGAGTCAAATAAACATGGGACTTTCACGTAAAATTACAATATACAGTGCAACAATAACAGTAAACCCATGAGTGATAATTAGGGAAGAGGGTTGAAATGGGGGGGCTGGAAAAAAAGTTATCGTGACCTTGTCTAGGCTCAGCCTATTTGTCCAGTGTGTGCATGTGTGTGTGTGTGTGTGTGTGTGTGTGTGTGTGTGTGTGTGTGTGTGCGCGTGCTTGTGTATGAGCTGTACGTGGACCATTATTGATAGCTCTGCCTCTAACAAGCCTGGGTCAAAGGTCAAATAGTGGTGAGTGGAAATGAGATGGAGCAAGACTGTTAAAACGGACCTTTAAAAACACTTGCTCACTCACGCTCGCACATAGAAACACGCACGCACACGCACACAGAGGATTTAGGCTGATTGTTACCAGACCATTTTAAAAACACCTCCCTTAATCCCCAACCCTTATTAGTCTTCCCACCACAAAGATGTGTGGTCTTCACACTAAAGCCTGTTTAGACAGAGTTAAGATACATGTAATAATCTGACCTCTGAGTAAACAATCACATTACTCACATGTCACTTTCAAGGTATTTTGGCCCAAATTCTTCACGAATGTACAGTGGAAACTGGAAAAGTTCAACACGACATGTTGCAGGATGCCGGTTGACCTCCTTTAGAGAAAGTAATGAAATTAGAGTCAGCAGTGCCCAAACAAAAAGGATTTTTTTGACGTCTATGCCAATTCTGATATTAGGCAGAGTAAAACTTATTTTCGGTCCCTTATTACTTACAACAATAAAGGTATCGATTACACCACAACATTTGACTGCTTTACCTTACCATGTCATGTAGTATTTCTTTATAAAAGAGAAAAGAAAAAATGTGCAAAAATCTGTTTTTTTGGGGGGGGGATGTTTGGCAGGGGGATATTTTTGAATGTCATTAACTGTGTTTTGTGTAAAAACAAAAAAAAACAAAAAAATCAAATAGCAATGACAGATTTTGCAGATTTTAAAAGCGGTGATATCAGTCAGCCGGTTAAATCGGTCGGCCATTTCGTTGGATGGGTCCAAATAACCAGTTACTTTTGCCACCATGAGATCTTTAGTTCCCTTTTTAACAGCCACACAAAAGTATACAATTTGTCACAACTGCTTTATGATAAATTGTAAAAAAAATTCAAATAAATGTATGATGCTAATGAAATCCATCCATCCGTTTTCTAATCCGCTTACCCTCACGAGAGTCACAGGCGTGCGAGAGCCTATCCCAGCTCTCTTGGGGCAGTAGGCGGGGTACACCCTAAACTGGTTGCCAGCCAATTGCAAATATTAATTAAATAATTGATCAAAATATTAACAACCAAATAAAATGTGAAATAATGTATTAAGGGGTAAATTGATTCATTATACAGTGAAATAAAATCTGACAAACAAAATCAAAGTGGGCGGGAAGGATCAATCTGATCGAACTGTTCTCCGGTATATCAAAATACAATAAATCAGCTCTGGATGAATGAGTATCTTTTTTTTTTCTAAATATTTAATTTAAATAATTCCCCTTTTGTTTTACAACTCGATCATAGGTTCACGTCTCCAAGGACACAATCCTCAGTCAGGATGCAATGAATCAGAAACATAATGCTCAAGCTATGCGGAAAACAACATGGAGCAGCGGGTTAGTATGATTACATATCACACTGCGTCAATATTTCTGAATTACGCTGTCACTATTCACATTTGAAGAATATTTCATATTTGCCTTTTATTTTTGTTTCATTTGAACAAAATGTTCACCATAACAGAGGGTTACAATTGAAACCAGACACTATGTAAATCGCTAGAGGAAAAAAGTATGACTTCAAACACAAAATTGGGTTTCGCCTCTCTCACTGTAATTTATCAAAGAGTTAGCAAAGAGACAACCACAATGTGTTTTGTTATCAATCCATCTTTACGCTATGAATGTAAACATTTTTACATTTCAAAAAAATTAATAAATCATGTGATTTATTAACTGTTTTGTTATTTTAACCCAGGAGTTCACAATTTTCTTTTGCAAGCACCGTTTGGCTTGCAAAATACCTCTGGAATACGTTCATTCTCCACAGACTTGACATTTTGCATGCTTCAAATGATGGGAAGCAACCGAACACTGACTTTGAGCGCTTGTGGTCAATTATTCAACAGATCCTGCCATTTTTCATTGCTCACACACCACTGACGTTCATGGTTAAATGCACCCTTCTCTTCTTTTCTTGGCCACACAGTTACATACATTGAGTAATCATGAGCCTCTATCATGGCGAGATGATGTAAAAATGTTGCCTCAGAGCGGTAACAGAAGATCCAGAATTTATCCACCTTTGCCCTTTTCACAGAACAACAAAGTGTGTTTAATTTCACACAGCATTCCACGTAGGGATAATGAGATGATCGGTAAGTTCATCAGAAGTGTCTGGTCAGATGCATGAAAACGCTTGTTCGAATTGCCACGAATAATACAAAGCGCAGGAGAACGGTTTTAGCTGTTAAGCCTAATTTCACAAATAGTCTTGCAGATCCATCCCATTTGTTGTTAGAGATCTACTACTACCTCCACAGGCGGAAAATTGCAGGGTCAACTTTGTTAACCACAAATCTGTGTTGGTCCTAAGAATACAGAACAGGAAGGCAGAACTGCCAACTTTTACAGCAGTTCTTCTCAAAAAGTTCGGGCGATGCCAGTGGTAGCTTTATTGACCTTGAGGAACATGCTTTTTTTTGCTATACTGAACTGAGTGAAATTGCACTCTCGCTGCAGGAGCCTGGCAATGGCACTCATTGTCAGAGTGTGTGCAGGGAGTATTTTGGACTACTTTGTTTTTGGAGGGGAGGGGTGGGGGGGGTCACCGAGATTAGGAATACGTTCAACATCCACGCCGAGCCAGCTCTGCACCTCTCTGACCATTTAGAAACTAAGAGATTGTTGGAAAACAAAAATAATAATCAAACTATTTGCAAATATTGGAAAAATGTTCTCAAAAAGTTGGGGCGATGCCAGTGGTAGCTTTTTTGACCTTGAGGAACATGCTTTTTTTTTTTTTTTGCTGTCCTGAACTGAGTGCAAACTCTAGCTGCAGGAGGTGGCAATGGCACTCATTGTCAGAGTGTGTGCAAGGAGTATTTTGGAGTACTTTTTTTTTTTTTTTTTTTTTTGGTGGTGGGGGGGCACCGAGATTAGGGATACATTCAACATACACGCCGAGCCAGCTCTGCACCTCTCTGACCATTTAGAAACTAAGAGATTGTTGGAAAACAAAAATAATAATCAAACTATTTGCAAATATTGGAAAAATTCTGAAGAAAAATCCAACTGTATATGCAGAGAAATGTTGGATTATTAACGATGGTAACACAAAACATCACTGCAGTGAACAAGATTGAGTTTGCCATAGTGCCTTATTTTGCAAATCGAACCAATGACGTCATGGATCAATCAGCAAATTATTATATTCCAACCGATCCCCGAATTTGCATTAAATGTAAAACATCTGCCAATCCAATCCAATCCAATTTAAATGACCTCATTCATCATTCGGGTATCGTGGATTCAACTCAAGTTGGTAAATTAACTTTTTCTGAAGTTGTTTTTTGTCTCATACCATTACTGAAAGAGCCAGTGGAGCTAATGTTTACAGCAGTTTTGCTCATCAAAACAAAAAAAATATGTATGCATGTGTTAATTCATCAAAAGGAGTGCACTCTGCCTCTCGAAACACCCGCACTCTCAGTCATGTTCGGGTGTCAGAATAAATTTAGGAACACACACAGCTATTCAGTGCAGGGAACAAATCCTAAAGAGACCCCACGGGAACGTTTCTTCTATAAATGCAACACCACACTGTTCCTGAATACTTCCATAGACTGCAGTCATTTCTGAAGACAAATTTCTCATTTTGCGCAGTTCCGAGTTTCCATTGCAATCAATCATTAAAAACAGCCAAAAAGGCAGCACCACAAAAATGGGGGCTCAGAGTTCTGAGGTCAACTTAAGTTAACTTAAACTGGTGGAAACAGAGAGTGTTAACTACACAGAGCTAACACACCCCTCAATCCATCCCTACATTCCTCCTCTACAATTTGCATTTGTCATTTTGAAAGCTGACAGTTTACATTGGCATGCTATGAACCCTCTGTGCGAGCATACATTGAGGCCCAAATGTGTTAAATCAAGAGAAGTCATTTTTGTCTGAAGGAAGTCATACTTTACATGCGAGTGAGCGTGGGATCTCCTACCTGTTATTGTTACATTGCTGTAGATGTTGGACAGTTGCTCCTTGAGCAGGACGAGATGTGTGCTGGCCGCCTTCTCTCGTTGAAGCTGCAGCATCATATCGGGGTGGCTTGCCACTTTGCAACCGTTCTGCTTGTCCATCGCAATGTCACTTCGCACTATATCTGCCCCCATAAAAAAAAAAAAAAGTGAAAGACAATACATTACTGTACAATATATTGCAAGTCGAGAAACACATAAATCACAGAAGAATTGCCAGAAAATAGTAAAAGCATGTAACCCACATATAATCCAACTGGAGTGGGGAGGTGGGGTTATATACTTATTGTGTCTTTTGCATCATTTGTTTTCATTAACGCTGGGAAACCTTAAACAAGAACTGAAATGGTTCCCAACCACTGCTTCTATAACATTTATGCTCCATTGTGTCATGGGTGAGCTGTTGCTTATCCCAGCTGGCAAGCCAGCCCATCACAGGCCATTGAAAACCAATCACATGCATGTTTTTGGAATGTAGGAGCAAGCCGGAGTACGGGGAAAACTCCACACATATATGGAAGATTCAAACCGCCGCAACCTCCGAACTTGAAGTCAGACGTATTAACCACTTTTGCCTTTAATATACCCAGATATTAAAATCATCTGCTGAAAATGAATGACAATTTAAATGTGCGTCATTATTGTTGTAAAACATCAACTAATGTCAAAGATAAATTTCAAAGTACTGTAAACATGTCAACTGTTTGAAAAGCATTATAAAATTTTCTGCACAAATATTAACCATTAAGTGGCAAAGACACTTTTAAACAAATAAATTAGCCAACCTTGACAAGTTTATGAGCGAACATAAACTAACTGTGGCCCTAATGGCCAACACCTGATGTAACGGAAAATTGACTTGTGTAAAAGTAAATGACTTTTGACGGGAGGAATTCATTTGGAGCACCGTTACACGGGCAAAGTGGTTGAGTTAACGTGAAACGAGAAAAACCCGGCTCTTTGAATGTGACAATGTAGACTTAAAAAGTTGTTGGTTTGTTTTTTTTTTTTTTAATTCATTTCTTTTTACCGTCGTCGTAGTTCTTCAGGTAGTAGTCGGGCCCGGGTCCTCTGTATTTAGCCAGGTTCTTCTGGTTGTTGAACTGCAGAAAGTCGGTCCTTTTACCGCCAAAGCGGAGGAAGGCTGGAGAGAGGCCTCTCGCCAAAGTCACCAGACGCTTGGAGCTGTGGGCACACTTCAGTTAGCTCTTCCGGGTTATTGTCCAAAAATAAATAAACAAATAAATACACGAATAAACACTGCGTAAAATAACCATTATTTTTTTCGTTTCTTCGTTTTTAAGGCAATGATTTGTGGCAGTTTGTTTGGCGTGTTCTACTCTAAATAGAGAGACTTTATTGAAAGTTAAATATGGAATTCAGTCGTTCAAATTCGCAATTTTTCCTGTTAGTAAATCCCTTTTTAAGGTAAACATTTTTTTTATCCTTAGATTTTCAGTTGTAATCAGATAAATATATTTTATTTATGCTTGTTATTATTTTTTTAATTTAGTAATGAGTTTTCCAATATTTTTAATCCATTTGTTTCAATGACCATCAATTCTGTTATTGTGCGACCATAATTTAAACAGAGTACTTTAAATATAAAATGTATATCATGTCTTCGTCTGTAGTATTCAATATTTACAATTTTTATGATGTAGTATATTTTCTTTTTATTGACAACATTTCGCCGAAGCAAAGGTGTCATATCTATGCAAACGTTTTTGTTCATAAGGAGGAGGTACACATGCTACATAATAACATAAGTAACTGTGTAACTGGTCATTCATTTATTATGTTTATAATTATTTGGTACATGCACATCTGTTTTGTTATTGTTTGGACGCTCTATGACAATTTAAAGTATCTCTTAAACAATATATCATTACGATAGCGAGTACTATCGTGGAAGTAAAATAGATTAACCGAAAACGGATGAGGATTTCATAACGCTTCTTCCCACTCCTTTATTTGAACATGAAAAAGTATGTCATTGTCTGGTGCTGATTTACTTTTTAATTTTTTTTAGGGGGGGTGGTTCTTTTCAACTTCAAAATAAACTGGTTCTCGTTTACATAATGTGACATAACTGCAAAAATGGGGGAATTAAACTGTTCTGCACAAAATACAAAGTTTAACCCTGAGCGATATTCTTCAAATATGACGAAGAAAATATTTTAGGAAGGGTCGAACTCAGTTTATTTATTTATTTATTTTCATTTCATGATGCGCAAATGCAATGTACAGATTGTTTTCATTTTCTTCGACAAAAAACAACATCATTTAACTTTTCGATCATTCCACAAAAGTTACCTGAGGAAGACCAGCCAGCCGTCACTGATGATAGACGGATCCAGCTGCAGCGAGAGGAAGTTCTCGCTGAGCACTCGGGTGGGACTGCGTGTGTTGACGTCCAGCAGAACCAGCGGTGTTCCCAGGGAGCCCGCCCGAGACCCGCCGACTCCCCGTCTCTGGTACATCGGGAAGGAGGGCGAGGAGAATGAAGAAGAAGAAGAAGGGGAGGAGGATGAGGTGCAGATGACTCGCAGCAGCAAAGATGCCAGCCACCAGCAGGACGATCGTGGATGTGCTCTCTGCATCTTGGAACAAGCTTGAAATCTTTCCGGGGTGTGAATGCAGATCACAGTAGAGGCTTGTCACCTTTTTCTTCACGATCTGTCTTCCTGTCCGCTTGTCTCACTTCGCCACCCCAACCCAGCTAAACACCCCCCAACTCCCGCCCCTCTGAGTCGTTTTTGGGGAGTTGCGCACCAAAGCACATGCGCAAAGGCAGCACTCGTAAGAGGCTGCAGAGGGGGGAGGAGCAAAGGAGGTCACTGTCCCTCCTGTCCTCCCCACCCTCGTGCACCACATTAAGGAAGTAATGGGAAATTAGCACCATAAGTAGTTTTTTCAGTTATTCGTACTTGAGAATTTAGCTATTGAATATTTCTGGTATTCGGATATCTAACTGAAAAGTCTATCGAATAATTGGGTATCCAACCATCCAATTTCTGATCCGCTTATCCTCACAAGGCTCGCGGGCATAGTGGAGGCTTTCCCAACTGTCTTTGGGCAGTAGGAGGGGTCCACCCTAACTGAATGCCATCCAATCACAGGCATAGACAAAAAATTCAAGCTCACAATCATTGCCAGGGACAATTTCGAGTGTTCTATTAACCTGCCACACATCTTTTTGGAATGTGGGAGGAAACCGGAGTACCCGAAGAAAACCCACACAGGCACGAGGGAGAACATGCAAACTCCGCACAGGAGCCCGAATCGAACCCTGCACCTCTGCACTGTGAGGCGGACTTTTTAACCAGTCAAACAATGTTCTACCTAATCAGGTATTCAGATAAAAATAAATATATCTTTTTTTGCTTGATGAAAGATACAAAATACAAAAAACAGATTCCCACTTAATAATAACCTAACAAGTGGTTTTCAATTTTTGATAATCAACATTTTAGACCTAAATATAAACTGCATTGGAGGACACTTTTTTTCCTCTATAGAAATATGAGTGAGTATTTCGATAAATCTCCCTTTATAAATTTTGGTCCATGAGATGAAGTGACAAGTGAACAACAGTAAAGATTTTGCCGGCTGAAACAACTGACTTGGCTGGTTTATGAAAAAGTGATCAATCGGAAGGGCAACTGTCCAGGCTGTCAGCATCAAAGGTGCAGAGTCATTTAGGTCCATTAACTTGAGACCTCGCAATGGCTAGCGCTAAACGCTGGCAACAGGCGCCTTACAATACAGTGTCAGCGTAATTAAGTCATTTTTATTTTGCGTCCTTAAATTGTGATAGACATTATTTCAGGACAAAGTTGTAATGTTATCATCATTGGAAACAGTTTGTAACAGCCTAAACACAGTATGGACGACAAGTCAAGCAGGGATGGCTTTAGGATTTTTTTCTGTCCCGGGGATAAAAGACAGCTACACCGAAAATGGGGAAGCCAAGAAAATAATGTCAAAATATCTTTTAGAATATCAGATAAAATGCTGGGGGGGGAATTCACTGGGGCAACACAGATTTCTGATATGTCTATAGTCCCCCCTGGCACTGGTGTAGAGCAATCCCTGGAGTCAAATCAGTGTGGCGTGTTACTATCATGTATAGCATAAACAATTGTTGCTGCGGTGAGCTTGACTTCTTCCTGACAGTGTACACGTAAATATGCGGGTACACAAGGCAAAAGAAAAATGCCTTAAAAGTATTTTTTTTTTCCAACCGAGGTACTCAAATTGCTCGAGGAAACCTTCGAGCCCTAAACTTTACAGTTGCTTTTGTTCTCGATAAAAAAAATATATATATATCTGTACAAACTGTGAAAAAGGTAACAAGCAACAGTTACCAAACAACATGAATCATTCATACTCACGTAGGCGTAAAGTAGACAGGAACGTGCACAGATATTGATGGGGGCGGGTGCTTAAGCCCCCCCAAAATAGGGGAATGGGAATACAATTATTCACACAATCTTTTTTTTTTAAACTGTAGACCAGAAATACTTGAATTGGGTATTCATTTCTGTTGACACAATAAACCCGGTCAATAATCCTATTTACAAAGGATTGAAGGGAAGCTACAGTGGATATAAACAGTCTCCTTGTGCAAAGGGCAAAATTCTCCTAAAATATAGATAGATAGATAGATAGATAGATGGATAGATGGATAGATGGATAGATAGATAGATAGATAGATAGATAGATAGATAGATAGATAGATAGATAGATAGATAGATAAGCTCACATTTACTACTTGGTAGTTTTATCGCACTTTTGGGTTAGGCTGCGCAAGATACCCTTCTTGTACTTTTTGTAAAAATTACATGTTAATGTATTTTTTTTTACATTTTTTTGTGCTTTTGTTTACTGTACTTTCATCATCATTATTGTAATTGTACATGGTGTGTTTTACGGATGTAATTGAATACATTGACCAAGGAATAATTATACACACGTGCAGCATTGCAAAAACAGCAAAGCACTATATTTACATACTTGCTTATGTTACAGCTATTGAAATGCAGTTGTCGCATTCTTTTTTTCAAATGATTAAACTAAATCTAAGGTCGACCTCAAGTCAAAACTCAAGTAGCCCATATCCTACATGTTGCATGTATTGTATAGTGCCTTTGACCCAAATACATTCCAAAAACTCATGAGTATATAATTTTAATGCTTGATAAATAAACTTCTCGTTTGTTTGTTTAGTTTTTTTTTTTTTTTATAAACAGAATAATTATACACGGTCTATGGTATCATGAAATATTGGCGTTTCTTTGAAAGTTTAATGAATGAGTCTTTTTTTTAAATTTATGTCCCTGCACAACATATGAACTTGAATCGACTTGCGAGTGCTCAGCCTGTGCTCTCTGAGTGCCGAAAAAGTGACACGCTCATAAATATGAGGACTGGAGCATTCACGGGGGAGCACAGACAAGCGTCTGTCTCCACGGGTATAATTTTAATGCTTGATAAATAAACTTCTCGTTTGTTTGTTTAGTTTTTTTTTTTTATAAACAGAATAATTATATTTCACGGTCTATGGTATCATGAAATATTGGCGTTTCTTTGAAAGTTTAATGAATGAGTCTTTTTTTTAAATTTATGTCCCTGCACAACATATGAACTTGAATCGACTTGCGAGTGCTCAGCCTGTGCTCTCTGAGTGCCGAAAAAGTGACACGCTCATAAATATGAGGACTGGAGCATTCACGGGGGAGCACAGACAAGCGTCTGTCTCCACGGGCACTCAGCGCTGCTTTTGGGGTCATGCACGCACGCAGGTCTCACGAGCGCCAAACTGCATGAGAAACATAACAGGCCGAGTAATAAAAATAAAACAAAAAAAAACCCGATAACTTTCCAAGTTGTGACACGAAAGCTCAAAAGCTTTCATCATTGAGGTCTGAGTTTTCGCGCAGTAACTAACTTCTTTTAAAGGAAAAAAAAATCACTATTGATTGTTTAAGTCTTCACAATTTGCACCTTAACTGAAAACGTCATTCACAAGTTTACCCATGACGTGATCTGGTTTCTCGAGTATTATAGTCGCTCAACCTTTGACTACTTCATGAATAGATAAATAACCTAAACCAAAAATTTGTAACGAGATGAAGACGAGGATTTATTTTACTTTGAAGGACGTTCTCCTCATTACCAAGGCTGTAAATACCAGCAGCATGT